TCCTCCTGCCTCAGCCTCCCTCCCGAGTAGCTGGGACTACATGTGCATACCACGATGTCCGGCTAATTTTTAAAATTATTTTGTAGAGACGGGGTCTTGCTATGTTGCCAAGGCTGGTGTCGAACTCCTGGCCTCAGCAATCCTCCCACCTCAGCCTCCCAAAGCGCTGGGACTTCAGGCATGAGCCACCGCACCCGGCAGGAAATAGTTGTGTCATATATTTTTTTTCATTTCACAAGGAGGTGGGTGCATCCATGTAATGAACGTTGTCGAGCACCTTAACATGCCAGATCCTATAGCACCTCCTGGGAATAATGATGTGAGGACATCGTGGTCCTGCCTTCGTGGCATTCACAGGGCGGTGGGAAGAGTCAGCCCGGAAATCGGACGCTCTTGGTGGCTCCAGCAGGTGTCCTCTGCCCTCCTGTCCCAGCCATTCCACCCCTTTCCTAGATCATTCCCAGTGGTTTATACACATTGCTCCCCAAAACTGCACTTGCCAGGGGCCACAGCGGCCCCCACACAGCCAAATCCAGCGGCCACTCCTCAGCCCTTGCCCTGGGCGGCCTCTCAAGAAGCATCTGGGACACACATTCTGCCCCCGAAAGACCCTCCCGGATGCCAGGTCCTCAGCCTGCTCTCCCTCCTATGCCCCAGGTGTAAGATTGGGGTGGCCAGGACTCTTTGGGACAGGCACCCCTTCTCCATCTATTCATCCCCAAGGTCGCCACCAGTCCCACGACTTTAAGTCCAGTCCACACGCTGATGGTTCTCAAACACACCAGGTCCTCTCCACCCTAATATGCCCATGTGGTTACGTTTGAACATCTGTGATATTGGGATTCACATTACAGTTGATGGAGAGCTAGAGTTTAATGAGCAGCATTCTTAGCAATAATAAAGTAATGCACTTCTTACTGCCCATGGCACCTTAGGATCAATGAAACACAATCTGGCCCCAGCCTTGGCTTCCTCCTGGTGCTCCAGACTTTTCTACTCAACCTCTGCCTTGGCACCCCCCCCCTACGGATGCCCCGTGGGTATCTCACACTTAACTTGGCCAGAGCTGAGCTGTTGGTTTCCACCTCTGGGCCTGACCTCCCCGTTGCCCCCGTCTCTATGAATGGCACGCCGGTCCCCCACCAGCCAGCTGTCAAACCAAAAACTTAAGGTCATCTCTGATTGCTCCCTGCCATCAGGTGACTGGACCTTCCTGTCATCTCAGCTTCCAGACCCAGTCCTCACCTCCCAGCTGTCACCCTAGCGTGAGCCACTGTCGTCTCAGGCCTGCGTCCGTTCTCCCCACCGCAGCCAGGGATCTTTTCAAAACCTGGATCAGATCATCTCAGAAAGCTTGGAAATAGAAGGAAAAATAAACCTAAACCAAGGAGAAGGAAAGACATAGTAAAGATAAGGGAAGAAATCAGAAAAACTGAAAAAAAAGAAAGAGAATAGAGACAAAATAAAAAAATTGATGAAACCCAGAGCTGGTTCCTTGGAAAGATCAGTGAAATGTCAAGGCCCCAGCAAGACTGACACAGGAAGGATTGGGAAGACACAATCAATCAGTCTCAGGAATGAACAAGTGGATATCACTCTACACATCAATTCAACAGCTATAGCCCTATAGCTATTAAGGAAATTGAATTTAAAGTTTAAAATCTCCCAAAATAGAAATATCCAGACTCAGATTGCTTCACTGGAGAATCCTACCAAACATTTGAAGAAGAATTAACACCAGTTATATGTAATCTCTTCTAGAACATAGAAGAGGAGGGAACACTTCTAACTCACATTATGAGACCAATGTTACCCTCTTTCTGAAGCCAGGCAGAGACAGCACAAAACAAGAAAACTGTAGAATAATATCTATCATGAATATAGGCACAAAAATCCTTAACAAACTATTAGCGAATATAATTCAGCAATACATATAAAAAATTATACATTATCGCCAAGTGGATTTATTCCAGGCTGCAACACTGGTTCAATATTTGAAAGTCATGCAACGCAACCACCATATTAACAGGCTCAAGAAGAAAAGTCACATGATCACGTCAATCAATGCAGAAAAGACATTTGATGAAATTCAACACCCATGACAAAAATAAAAACTCTCATAAAAACAGTGAGAGGGAACTTCCTCAACTTTATAAAGAGCATCTACAAAAACCTTATACTTAATATTATATCCACTCTCCCCATTCCCGTTCAACATATTACTAGTTCTTGAAGTTCTTATCCTCCACCACATTCCCACCTGGCACATAGCAGGCCCTCAATAAACGTTTGCTGGAAAGGTTGAGTGGATGAATATGCACATGGAAAGAGGTGTGTCTGGGGTCCTGGGAGGGCACAGGCCCAGTCCCCAGCGAGTTCTGAATAGGCCTCAACGTGCCCACATTCTGCTAGACTCCCATTTCGCAGCCACCCCTCCCTTCCCCACCTGCGTACGCCTGTCATAAAACGTCATTAGGACGTATCGAGATAACCTGCTGACCTCACAGGACTCCACAAAGAGAGGCTCCACCAAGGACTGCGGCCACGCTGATCCCCAAGTCTAGCTAATGCGCAAACCAGCTCCCCGGAGCCTCTGGCGAGCGCTGTTTGTTCCTTTGGTATTTATACCTCTTCTCGGAGAGCCATAGCTGACACTTAGCACAAGCCAGATGCCATCCTAGACCAGCCTCCAACTAGGTATTGAACCCTCCCAGGACCTCACGAGGCAGGTCCTGCAGCCACTTCCCAAATGACGCAGGTGAGACATCAACCCTCATGCCTCCCCTCATGCCAGCCCACATGTCCCACCCCTGCAAAGAGCCACCTCTCGCCCCGCCGTGGGGCACGGGATGTGCCCACCATAGGCACTCTCCCCTTTAGGGGGGCAGATTCCAGGGAGAGGCCAGTGCAGGCCTAGAAACCACTCAGGGCTGTTTAGCCAGGTACCCAGAGAATAATCTAGAAGAGGCTCCAAATGACCTCATGGACTCCTAGCCCCACAGGGATGGGCATGGCTAGAGAGGGCCAGAGTGGCCTCCCTGAAGGTTAAGATTCCTCTGTCTGGTGGAACATGGCTCCTCCCATGTAGCAAGGAGCAAGTCCTACAGCCGCTGCCTTGGCAGGAGGGGTGGGCATTGCAGAGTCTCAGAGTCCTACATAAGCCAAGGGAGTGGCCAGCCAAGCCTTGACCCCTTAGCTGAGTGCAGTGGGCTCCTCCCACCCCGTGTACCCCACCATTCCTATCACCCAGCCCAGCAGGGGTCCAGAGCCCTGAGCCCCTCCCCCTACTGTCACCCCATGCCTGGGCTCAATCTTCCCCATTCTCCTGCAAGGCCCAGCCTCAGCTCAGATGTCACCTCCTCCCTGGAGCATTCCCTAAGCCATCAGAACCAGGTGACCCTCCCCAGCAGCCTGGCTCACCCTAGCCCCAGCCACTCTTAGGAGACCATCCTTGACTTAGCCCCAGAGAGCCCTCTCCTTGAGGACAGACAGACAGACTGTGCCCTCATTTAGCCAGACCTGGCATGCAACCAGCCTCTGGAGACATGAACTAATGAATGAATAAGTGAATGCATGACTAAATGAATGGTGAGTGTGTAAAGAAACAAATAAGACACACCACGTATCCTGGGAGGGAATACTGTAGGGTAGAGGGTGTTCCTGTCACCCCAAAATGACGTCACCTATTTCCAGGCAAGGCTGAGCTCCTCTCTAGGAGGAAGAGGGGTGGCAAGGCCATCCCTTCGGAGTGGCAGGAATGTGGCACAACGTGTCTGCCCCAGGAAAAGGTCCCAATATGCCCACAACTACAAGGAGGGGGCGCCAGAGAGGGCCCATGGACAGCCATGTCCACGTGACTGGGCCAGCCCACCACAACCATTTAATAATCTGGGACTCCCCACCAGGACCGGCCCCGGGGCACAGCCACGTCAAACCAGGATGAACCAGACAGGACCTCCTTAAAGGGCATATCTCCAAGGGCCTCACCCCAAACCGCCACCCCCGCCCAAGGTCGTGGCTTGTTAGGGGAGTCTGAGATGACCGCCCTGCCCACCCCAACTTTGCTTCCACAGCCATTTACTCTTCAGCCCTGAAACTCTTCCAGCCCTGGCTCTGTCTGGGCTCAGCTAACCTCATGTCCCCCCTGTCTGACATTGTCACTGCCACAAGAAGAAATAGGGATGGAGTGACCCTGCCTCATTGGCTTTGTTTTCAGACACAGAGTCTGAAGCTAAAAATGCCTTTCAGGATTCTATAGGCTTCCTTGTCATGTCTGCTGTTTTCTGGTTGCGCTGCCCACAGTCCTACACATGGGTAAACGGCTTGGGTGAGGCCCAGTCCAGGAGCCCTCAGTTAAATATGAACTCCCTTGAGGTGTGGCACACCTCTGGCAAGGATGCCCACTAAGCAAGATGCTTTCTCATGGGGTGGGAGAACCCCAAGCAGCCAGGGGGTTAAGAGGCTAGGGGAGTTGGGACAGGAGGCAGAAAGGAGGTGGGAAGTTGGTGAAGGTCATTTACCAAGGTCATGATTCTCTTTTCCAGGCCCTTTTCAGCAAAACCCCTGCCAAGAGACAAGCACTGTCTCTATTTTAGAGGTGAGGCTTAGAGAAGTTAAGTAACTTGCTCAAAGTCACACAGCTGGTCCCAGACTCTGGTCTTTTTGACCCCAAAACCCACCTTACTGTACTATGTCTATGAAAACTGCCAGAATCAAAATGGAGTCACTTGTGTCAAGCCCTGACAAATGGAGCCAGGGAAGCCCACGAAGCTAGGGTTCTCGTGCAATATGCCTGATAACAAGAACAAAGACCACTGCAACCTTACACAGAAAAATATATATACTTCCATCTTCCCAGCAGCTGCCCGTCCAACCTTGGACTGATGACACCACCCTTGTTATTGATCCGTGAGCTAAGGATAATTGATTCAAAACAATTATATAAGTTTATAATCCTCATTTTTATTTTAAAAACTCTTGTCTTTCTGTACCTCCCTGAGTATGCACATAGTTCACTCTGGCACTTGCATTCCCACTGCAGTGCCCGCTCCTGAATAAATGTCATTTTCTTTTAGAGAGCCTCTCTGTCTGTTATTTATTGACACCAAAAAACAGGCTGGGAAACAACCTGGGAGACAGCTTTTCTCGTTCTTGTGTTGTGAGGCAGGGGCTGTCTCATGCACCCATGTCCCCAGGAGTCATAATGGCCTGTGTCATCGCAGTAGACGACATCAGCAAAGGAGGCTTCAGTAACAGGGGCCTGTTAGTCTCACAGTGTACCCGGGAGAGAAGGTTCTAGGACACACCCGGGCCCCAGAGACTACAGCTGAGACAAGAAGAAATGGGTCGCAGGGAGGATCACGCGCCACCCTGTTTTTCCTGCAGAAGTTTTGGGTAAACACAAACAAAAGCGTCCAAAATGCTTCAAAGGATGAAGGGAACCAGAATCGGGCCCCATACGGCTTCAGAAAATGGGGCAAGGACACAGACAGGAAACACAGAAACCTGCACATTTCTATGTAAATGCCGTGGTTGAAATGCGGCAAGGCAGCGGGATCACAGGCAACAGAGCACTGCCCAGGGCGGCGTCGAGGGCTCCACTGGGGCCACCCCTGAGCTCAGAGCAGGCCCAGGCTCAAACTGCCCACCGGGAGCTGCCTGATTCTCTCCACAGCTGATCCGTGCCCAGGCCTCGGCTGGCGTTCCCAGGGCACATCATCCTCCAACAACCTCGTGAGGAAGCATTCTATCGCCCCTGCTTTAGAGTTGGGGAAACTGAGGCTCAGAGGACAAGTCCTGGCTAATGAGACATCACAGGAAGTCTCCTGGGGGGTCTAGAGAAGCCTGTCCTCTCTGGGAGGGAAAAAATGTGTCCTGCCACCTTTCTTCCTTTTTGGGGTATACTGTTGTGTGAGATGTGATGTCTGGAGCTGCTGCTGCCCTTCTGTGACTGTGAGGAACATCATAGCAGACACATAGGGGCTGGTGTGGAGCTTAGTCAAAGGAACCCTGAGTCTTGAGCATATCATGGCCCAGTTCCAGAACCTTCTCTCCCAGGTACATTGTGAGATTAACAGGCTCCTGTTATTGAAGGTTCTTTTGGTGATGTCCTCTACTGTGATGACACAGGCCATTATGACTTCTGGGGTCATGAGACAGGCCCTGCCTCAAAGTGCTCTCAGGAACCTTCTGAGCTCCTCCCACCCCAGGCTCTGCTCGGGGAAAACTGCCCAGCACACACACTCTTGCAGCATGCAGACTCTTAAGAAAACTGTACAATCATGTTTTTAAAATTACACAAAGAAGCACTGGGACAGGCCCCTACGATCCTGAGCTTTTTTGTCCCCTGGGTAAGTGCCCCACTCATAGAACGCCCCTGCTCTGTTAAGCCCTGAGCCCCTGCCCTGGCTCTGCCCCCACCCTCAGGGCACCTTGCTCCCAGGCAGCACCGATGGCAGCTGGGACCATGCACTGGTGAGTCAGGGTCTGGTCTGACCTCTCATGTCACACAATCTCCAGGCCCTCCCTGCCTGGGGCCTGTATACAGGAGGAGCCAACAAATGATTCTTTGGAGGAGGAAGAGAGCTGGGCCTTGGAACCTCTGGGGCATCCCACTAGAGCCCATGTGACGGGGCAGAATAAGAACAGCTGACTTGATCCGCAGCACCGAGCTAACCCTGTATGTAGCCTTGGCGAGTCACTTTGCCCCTCTGCATCTCACTCTTCTCATCACAAGTTTGTGCGCGAGTTTATAAGACACAAGCTCCACATCACAATGATCGTCGTCATCACAGCTCATCCTCGACATATTGCCACATCTCTAATCTCATCTCATCCTCCCAACATTTAACCATAAATTCGGGAACATTGCTTGAAGCCCTGCAAGCCAGGCCCCGCAGACAGAGCAGCAAACGACACAGTCCCAGCCCTCCTACGGCTCCCAGGCAGGTGGGGAGGGCAGACGACCAACAAGCTAGCCAGGGAATAGACTATGGATCGGGGACTGAACCAGGTGAGACACGGCCGGTCCCACCTCTGGGGAGAAAGTGGTCCGGGCTACAGAAGAGCAGACGTGAAGGTCTCCAGGAGGAACAGAGAGGCGTGTGGACTTTAAATGAGATGGAAGCTACTAGAAGATTTGGAGCATGAAAGACACTTGCTGATTTAAGATTTTAAAAAATGTCTGTGGCTTCTGTGGGGACAAGGAACTGGAGGGGAGAAGGAGGGAACAGGGAGACCAGTGAGGTTTCTGCCAGCAAAACTGAACTTGAGACAAGAATGCACATGGACCCCCAGGTCAGCCAGGGAGCAGGTGACAATGCCGTAAACTGCCATCCTCACTCTCCCTGCCCAGCCAGCAGCCCCAAGCCACCGATGGAGGGGCTGCACCCCAATTCTAGCTCAGTTGTGAATGACTGGTGAGAAAGAAAAGTGTATGAACCCCTCCTTACTTAATAAATAATAACAGTAGCAATGATAATAAGATCAGCAATACAAAATTCCTCTAAAAGAGTGGAAATTTTAATTAATTAAGTTTCCATTAACACGGCTCCTGCTAGCTAGGTTTTGCAGGCACAGTGCAGGTTCATGATAAATGCGTGTCTGTTCTGACTGAGTGTTCTGTTCTCAGCTCCTAACGCCAAAGAGCAAATGGGAAGAACTCCTCTTCCCTCAAAGGCCAGGAGACGCCCACACTGAGGACCTCAGTGCTGGTGACACATGCTTCAGATAATTACTCCAGTCATAAAGCAGAAGGCAGCTGTGAAAATGAGCGGTCATGTGAAGACTGTGCAGTCCAGGTCAGCGATGACTCCGTAGTTGCATGCCCAGTGTTTCTTAAAGGCTGCGTTACTGTATTTCTAAACTGTGACAATTTCAACTTGTAATTATGACATTCAGAGCACCACTCACCATTCCCTTCCTTCCAAGGTTTTTCAGAAAAGACACTCATGACAGTTTGTTTTCTAAACCCAAATACCATATGACGGTGTGTGTGCACACATGTGTGCGTGTGTAAGTGTGTGTCACTTTCTTGTTGCCATCCCGGCAGCTGAGTGTGGGGCACATTCAATACATTAATAGTAGGATTGTGGCTAAAGTCCAATACAGCTAAAATCTAGAGAGGAAAAAAATTAGTTAGAAATACACAACTCTTCACGTTTAGGCTTCAACTCCAAAGACACTATAAATTTGTAAAGTCAAAGTCTAGGGCTTGAAAAGAGCCGGTTCCAAGTTGGCTCTGCCATGAATTGCGAAGTGGAAGTGTAGGCTGGCTTCTCAATGGCCTGGTTGCGGGGCCAGCCAGCTGGCTTCCCTGTTTAAAGAGTGGGACAGCCACTTTTCCAACAGAGCTCTGAGCCAAAGTTCACACTGTCAGGGTCATGGACAGAGCAGAGACTAAAGAGTTTTCTTCTCAGAAGGTGCTCCCAGGATCAAAGGGCTGTGACCTGGCAATTTGAAGTTCCCTGCTGATGGGAAAGACAGGACAGGCTTGGAATTCAGCCCCTGGGGACATGGGAAAGGGAGGAGAGAGGGGGTCCCTGTGCCTTTTGCTGAGAAGGAATGGGTAGTTGGCATCCATTTCTTCATTAGGGAGCCCCTGGCCATGTCTCCAGCACAGCACTTAAAAGTAGCCCTTTCTGTTAAAATTTAAAATGGACAGCACATCCATTTACCTAGCCATTCCCCTTGCAAAATGAGCTATATAAAAACACTCAAATACAATAGGGACCCTAAATTAAGAACCTCTATTATGAAAGAATGATGAAAATAGAAAATCACCATTTGGCAAATGCCACAGTAATGATTGCTGCGAGCAAGATGACAGTATGAGAAAAACAAGATGTTTGTGTAGACTCAAAGTACAAAATGCATATACATGACAAAGGGAAAAATAACACAGCAGCTGAGAAACCTGACAGATATCACCATAACCAAGTGATCAAAGTTAATATCACCAGTTGTGAGAGGTATCAATTTGACGTGTCTCTTAATATTAATATGATGCTCTGAGAAGGGCTCAGTGTCATTTTTGCAGTATCTTTGCTAAAAATGCATCATCTCAATCAAATCATGAGGAAACATCAGACAAGCCCAAACTGAGGAACATCTACAACATCACCGGCCAGTACTTTCCAAATTGTTATGGTCATGGAGCAAGTGTTCCAGATTGGAGGCAACACGACACCTTAAATGCAAAAGGGGGCCGTGGACCAGAAAAAAGGATATTAATGGGACAGTTGGCAAAATGTGAGTAAAGTCTACCTATAATATTGTATCACTGTCAATTTCCCAACTTGGATAATTGCACTATGGTTCTATAAAATGTTAACCTTAGGGGAAGCTGGGTGGGAGGTACAGATATGGAAACTGTTTACTGTTTCTGCCACTTTTTTGTCAATCTAAAATTATTCCAAAATTAAAAGTAAAAAAAAAAACCTACTTATACAAATGTTTATATATATATGTATAATGATACTTATTGAAGCATAGCCTGTAATAACAAAATCTAGGAAACCACTTAAATATCCATCAATCAAGAACATGGAAAATAAATGATGACTGGTCCCACGGTGGAATACTATGCAACTGTTAAAAATGAAGTGGTCCATGGGAACTAATTGCAAAATACTTTTCTGGCAGGTTGTAGAACAAAATAATATCATCCCATTTCTGTTTAAGAAAAAACATAAATGTGTACAAGTGGAGAAAAAAGCCTGGAATAAGGTTAATTTCAGGAAGTATGGAATTTGGAATGGGGAAAAAGTCTGGAATAGAAATAGTAGTGGGGCTATGGAAGTAGTATTAAGAGAGGACAGAATGCTCACTTTTTACCTTATTGGGGTCTGTAACATCTGGTATTTTTTTTTTTACAGTGAGTACATATCACTTTCTTCATAATAACAACAATAAAAGGTAGAATGTAAATCTAGAAAACAAAAAAAGCTACCCCTCTCTGTGACTGGCTCAGTGGACAGTGGCCCAGGACAGGGGCACAGGGCCACATTTCCTGGTCCCACATGTTCAAGCTGCAGGCAGGGTCTAGGTGTGGGCTGACACTGAGCCCTGCAGGGGGTGGCGCTGTGGGGGGCAGGTAAAAGGGACAGGCCCAGTTCACAGGCTCATGCTCCATCGCTGGTAATGAAAACGCACCCAAGATGTGATGATCCCATGATGGTTACTTTAAGGTGTCAACTGGTTAGGTCACAAGACTCAGGTATTTGGTCAAACATGAATGGGTGTTGCCATGTAGGTATTTTCTGAATTAACATTTAAATCAGTAGACTGAGTAAAGCAGATTACCCTCCATAATGTGGGTGGGGGGCCCCCCCAATCAGTTGAAGGCCCTAAGAAAAAGACGGACTTGCTGAGGAAGAGGGTGTTCAGCCAGCAGCCAGCCTTCCACCTCCCGCTGCAACGTCACCTCCCCAGGGGTCCCTAGCCCACCAGGCCACCCTGCAGGCTTCAGCGCTGTCAGCCCCTCACAACTACAGAAGCCAATTCCTCACAATCTCTCTCCCTCTCTCCCCATCTATCTGTGCATCCTCTTGGTTCCGTTTCTCTGGAGAACCAGGGCTCATACAGACTCCCTGCAAAAATGTCCTGTTGGGGGGGGGGGGCGCACAAAGTGCTCTCAGTGAAAGGAAGGGGAAATTGAGGACATCTGAGGAGAGCAGCCCCAGGCAGAGATGGGGACAGGTCCTTGAGGCAGAAGCCCAGGGCTGGACAGGCTGTGGGGAGAGCAGTTGGAGGAAGCTGGTCCCTGGAGCTGGAGCAGGGCCTGGAAGGGGAGAGGATGGGGGAAGAAGGTGAGGTGGAGCTTAGAGGCCCCAAATTCCAGCCCTGGCAGCAAGATGGCTCCCTGCTGACACTGAGGAGTTGTTGAGGACTTGCAGTCTCCATCAGGTTGGGGAGGGGTAGGCTAGTGGGAGGGAGGGGAGGGGCTACTGGGAGGAAGGGGCGGGGCTGGATAGGGGTGGGACTAGTTGGAGGGGCGGGGCTGGGGAGGGGGCGGGCAGAAGGCAGGCTGGATTTCCAAGAGCATCATAGCTGCACCTTCCAATCTGAAGCCCCAGGACTGACTGGTTCCCTCTTCAGCCCCACCTGGCCCCTCCCTGACCCTTCGGTCGCCCCCACCGCCCCACTCATCTGTGGTCTGCTATCTGTCAAATGTCCACTGAGTTGTGAGGTTGTCACAGTAGGGAGCACGTCTCTTACATCTTTTTGCACACACATATATCCCCCAGCCCCTGTACACAGAAGGTGCTCCATTAATGCATGCTCAGGTCTTGAGCACAACCCAGCCTCCTCAAGACCTGCACTGGGGCTGGATCCACCCAACGGAACAGAAAGGAAGGGCAGAGCGGGCCAGCCCGCTGGCCTTTACCTCACGAGGTTGGCGCAAGGCCCCGGCCACCGGCAGCTCTGGTACACACGCTGGACCACCGTCTCTGAGCCATTCTGCACCTGGCAGGACACCGTCCGTGTCACCGTGTGATGGCACCAGTGCCTGTGGGAAGAGCAACAGTCACGTCAGCCCTGCCTTTTCCTAGCGGTACCAACTAGGGGTCAGAGGGTCATGCTGGATGAGGAGGGGCCCCCACAGACCTGGGGGGTTCGTTCTCTCAGTGAGGGGTCCACTGAGACCCTCTGTCCCAGTCTAAGGAGAAGGGAGAGGCCCCACGCCCCTTGGCCACCAAGCCCTGGCATCAAACACCCCCTATGGAATCAGTGAAAAAGACTCAGCCCCACCCTGGAAATCCACTCTGGTGTGGAAGACACTGTCCACAGGAGCATGGGGTGACAGGTCCAACCATGTGGTTAGCACAGGCAGCTACGGGAACAGAGCAGGGCACCCAGCCCAGCAGGTCCTAAGAAAGGCCACCAGCTGAGCACTGCAAGATAAGTTAGCCCACCAGATGTGGGGGGCCAGGAGAGGGGTCGGCCCAGCAGAAGAGGGAGCAGTGTGTGACAAGGACCCAGAAGGGAGAGAGACCGTGGGAACCTGCCTGCAATCAGAGGTGGCCAGAAGGCTGGGAAAGGGGAGGAGCCAGGAAAAAGGAAGAGGTAGGTTACCTGCCAGGCTACCTATGGCTGCTTTTGTGAAGTCAGTGGGAGCCACAGAAGGTTCTAAGCAGGATACACCTGGCTGCAGAGTGCAGGAGGTGAGGAGGCCCGAGCCTGGGCAGTAGGGACGGGGTAGAGGTGGCCGACAAGCACATGCTCCACCTCCTCCTCCTATCCCCATAACCTGGAAATTTAAAATCTAAAAACAAGTCCCCAGCAGCACTAGAAAGCCAGAAGCAATGGGCCAGAAATTGGGAGGGGTCCCCAAGAGACAGAAAGTAGATGGGCTTAAATTGATGGAGGAAACCATAGCAGAAAACACCCAGAAAAGAGGACAGGGGCTAAAAGTAGGAGCCACTGGGAAGCAGCAGATGTGGATAATGGGGAAGTGAGGGGCTGTCAAAAGGCTTGGCTATTTCACCATTGATCTGGAGTAAAAAAAAAAAAAATAAAAAAGGCTTGGCTAGGGGACCACAAAAGGAGAAGGAGCCAGACAGGTAGAACCCAGGTCCCTATCCCAGCTGGTATCAAGATCAATCATTATATTCACCTGCCCTGAGGCAGGTGTGGTCAAAGGGGGTGCCTCCAAAGCTGGTGACCACCAGCAGAAACAAGGACAACTCTCAAGGTCAGACAACTGAATTCTTGCACACTCCTTCCCCATTCTCCACCCATACCACCAGCCCACCAAGAGCCGAATTCTCAGTAAGCAGAGTCAAGTTAATGGAAAACCCCAAATACCAAGACTTTCACATTATTTAAAAAGCCAACACTAAGAAAGAAAGGCACCGACTCAACAGGCAATAAACCACACCTCAAGAAAAAATAATAAAGCAAATAGATGGAGGCAATTTTAAAAGCATAATTAATATCCTCAAAGAGATGAGAATATAGCAATCATTTAACAATTGTGATTTGAAAAAATTCAATATCTTAGCAATGAAATGCATGACTGTGAACAGCAGAATGGAAACAGTTAAAGAGTGATCTGATGAGCTGGAAATCTGAGCTGTGACCTTTCCCAGGAGATACTGCAAAGAAACAAAGAGACAGAAAATGTGAGCAAAAAGGTGAGGTACCTAGAGGATGGATCACGTGCCAACATCGGTCTAGTAGTAGCTCTGGAAGAGGTGATCAGAGACAATATAGAGAAGCATAGACTTTAAGAAATAATAAAGAAAATTGCCAAGAGCTGAAGAAAGACATGAGTTCTTAATTTGAAAGCACCCACTGAGTGCTAGTGTGGTGAAACCTCAGAACAATCAGGATGAAAAGAAAAGACTAAACACCGTAGAAAGAAAAGAAAAACAGATTGCTCACAAAAGATATCCCCCTCTGAGCATATATATAATATATATATATATATATAACAGAATATATATATATATATATATATTCTATCTCCCAAGGTTATACTGAACATTAAATAAGCACATACCCCTCAGTGGTGTGTAAATCATGCAGTGCGACCTAATCCAAGGTATCATTCTTGTTTACCTGGCTACTGAAAATCCCACAATGTAAACAACAGCTTAAGGACTGTCCTTCCTATTTTGCAGATGGGAAAAGAAAAACTGAGAGATTAAACCTCGTTGCCCATGGATACAGTTCAACCAGAGGCTGAGCTGGGAAGGGAACCCAGCCTTCCTGCCCCGGAAACCAACAGGGTCCCAACCACCCAACACAAACTGTGAACCCCGCCTCTGCCAGGTACCAGGGGAACTGGTCCTGAAATTGTGGGAGACGTCAGCAGCCTGGGCCCTTCCTTTGACCAGGGAGAATCAGCCCTATCTCAGGCACTCGGTGCGGTTCCAAAAAGGGAGAGAAGTGTGATTCTCTTTGGAATGAGCTACTGTTGCCTCCGAGGACAAATGCTCCCACCACCCCCAGATCTGCCCCGGGGGGTGGGGGTGGGTTCTGGAACAGACAGTCCAGCCATCCCGGAATCACACTGGGTCAGGGATTTCTATAGGGAAATGAGCTGTGAATTGGAAAACATTTTCAAATGCCTCGAATCACCATCTCCAGAACATTTGGTCTTTTAATGGGCTGTAAATGGCTTCCCAAAATCAAAACCCAGCCAAAAACAATGCAGGCAGGCAGAAAGGCCCTGGACCTTTCCAGATGAAATTCCAAAGCATGTTCACCCTCAGGTGCCCATGGTTCCAGGGACCTGCGTGGCCTCCCTCCTAGAACCCCGTGTCCTGAGCTTTTTGTCTGGCTGTGTCTTCTGTTTGGTGAGTGACCCTCCATGGAGGGTTCTGGCTCACATCCAGCCAAGGCTGTGGGCTGGGACTGCTCCCTCCAGGTCTCATTCCTCGTGAGAAGAGGCCCACAGCACTGAGCGGGAAGAGCAACCGAATTGGCCCTTGAGCAGCCACAGGCTCGAGGCTGTTGCCACTGCAGTTTCGACACTCTGAGCGTCTGGGCTCTGTGGTTTGGCGGAGCAGTGAAATCCTCAATTTAGGGTTCTTAGGGAAAACAAGTGCTAAGTGATTTCAGGAGATCATGCTATGATTGAATGGAGGGACCGTCCAGACACACCCCCCGGGCTCATGCCCAGCTCTGAATGTGACCAACCCTGCTCCGAGGCTGCCTGCCACCTGGGACCACCTCCTCTCGGGCTCGAGCTCAGCCGCCCAAGCCCCAGTGCTCCTATCGGAGCTTTGCTATGGGACCTCTTCACATGTGTCTCCTCCCTTCCCGGGACCCTGAGCCTGAGTCAGCCGGAGGCTTTGGAGGCGCCCTTCCCCTCCTCTGGAACCACCTAGGCTGCCCCACTTCCTCGTCTGAGCTCTGCCCCATGTTGTCACCTCAGTGCTTCCTCTTGAACCCTGCCACATGAGCCCACATGCAGGGGTGGTGGTCACCCATCACCATAGCCCACGGGACACCGCAAGACACACCGGCTCCATCTGTCCAGTACTGAGCCCTTCGCTATCTACCCCCAACCTGCTCCTCCAGCTTGGTGACCAGCCCCTCTAAGTTCCCTGTTCCCGTACCAAGAAGCCTTAGGAACAATTGGCCCCAGACTTCGCCTTCTCCCTCCCTCCCTTCCCACAGCCAATCAGCCACCACGCCTAGTGAGCCCACCTCTGGACACCCCTCCCTTGTGGTCCTGACTGGTGTCCATGTCCATCTTCCACCTGGACAGCCTCAGCCCCTCCTGGTCCCCCGGCCTGCAGTCTCCTATGCTGCCACCAGAGGGCGCCATCTAGAGCACAGCTCTGGCCCTGACACTCCATCCCCACCCCCATCCCCCATTCTCGCCCGCCTCACCCACCCACCTAAGCCTTTCTGAGCTTCCTCCCTTCCTTCCCATAGGGAAACACCAAGTTCTCGCCCACTGCTGGACGTCACCCCCCAGCCGCTCCATCTCACCACTCACACTGTCTTGGCCCCCCGCCAGCCATGCCACCACCTTCCTTCGTGTGACCAACTGTGACCCATCCTACCAGACTCCACTCAGCTTCCTTCCCCTCCTGGAAAGGGCCTCACATGCCACCGGCCCCATGCATGCCTCTGTCTTAACTGTGCCACCCACGCGGGAAGACTTCTGGCTCCTGGGCAGGGCAGGCCCCAGAAGGCCAGTTGCTCTGACCCCAGACTCCACGTCCCAGAAAGAGCCCACCCATCCACAGTCCCACACTCAACCATAACTGTTTGGGGTCGTGCTCTGTGCCAGGCCCTGAGCCCTAGCATAGTCAAGGCTGGTGGGGGGGGTCCCCGTTTCAGGCTCAGGCCCCTCCCCCACGTGCCCGCATCTTTCTAATTGCCTGGCCACACCCTGCCCAATGTCCAGAGAGGCGGGTTCCAGGGCAACTTGCCTGCCGGCTGAGTTCAAGAAGCTCTGTTAGAACTGAGGTTTGCAGCCTTAAGGCAATGGCCAAACAGATGGGGCAACCCAGGTGGCTCTCGGGCCCTGCCCAGGACTGCACCCCTTGGGGCACTGGCCAGTCCCCAGTGAGAGAGAGGCAAAGAAGCCTCCCAGTCCCCATCAGGGAGAAAGGGAACAACCAAGCTCAGCCAGCTCCCAACCACAAAGAGACTCTGCTGTAGGCAGAGTGGGGCCTAGCACCCCAAGGCCCGTTTTATGGGTGGCAGAGCAGTTTCACATATACCCACAGGCTGAGTTGTGTCCCCTCCAAATTCATATGTCGAAGTTCTAACCCCCAATATGGTATTTTCAGATTAGGTCTTTAAAGAGGTAATTAAGTTCAAAGGAGGTCACTGGGGTGACCCCTGATCCAATCTGACCCATGTCTTCATTTAAAAAAGGAAATCTGGACACACATACAGTGGGAAGACGACATGAGGAACAGGGAGAATACGGCCACCTACAAGCCAAGGAGAACGTCCTCAAAAGAAACCAAGCCTGCCAACACCTTGATCTCTGACTTCCAAAATTCAGAACTCTGAGAAAGAACGTTCTGTTGTTTAAGCCACCCAGTCTTGGTAGGGCAGCTGTAGCCAACTCGTGCATGTAATGACTCCCTCCAAACTGCTCAACAATTCTGATACACAGGAATTTTGTAGGTAAGAAAACTGAGACTCAAGAGAAGAAGATTCAAAGTCACACGATGAGCGAGTGGTACGTTTACGTGTTGAAATGCAGTAGTCCGACTGCAGACCCCACGCTACATCCACGTGCTCATGAGGATGGGCGGATAGTCTGAGAGCAAACAGAGCAGCCCCTGGCAGGCCCTTAGTAGCCACGGCCCTCAAGGGACATGAACAACAGCAGGGAGGAACTATCCCTACCCCGTGTATGAAACCAGTAAGATGATTGAGGGCAATTTAGGTAGGATCCTCAACAGCAGGACCCATGGGGAGGGCTCTTGTACAGATGAGGAAACTGAGGCACAGGGAGGGGTAAATGACTCGTCCAAAGCCACCCAACAAGTCAACAGGCAACCCTTGGCCACTTTGTTACACAGCCAGATGGACCTGAAGCCCACCCCAGACTACGGTGGTGGTCTCTCCTTGGGGCCATGTGCCCGGGACAGGCAGGCCCTGCGTCGGGAGACAGTAGCTGCCGACCGAGCCACGGAAGACCAGGAGCCGGCAGGGGCAGGGGCCTGGGCCGCAGGAGAGCGTCGGCATCCAAGCGAGATCTGCACGGCCCACAGCAAGGAGCCAAATCTAACAAGAGGAAACATGACCAGGCGGGTGTGAAGTCCTGCGCTGCAGCCCCCAAACCCAGCGGGCGAGCCCCAGATGGGGTGTAGAGGTTCCCGCCAACAATAAGTTCAGTGTGAGTCGATGTGTGTTCGGGGCCTCCGAAAAGCAAAGGCCAGCTCAGGCTGTCTTACTAACCAAACAGCATCAAGCACAAGCCTTGCTCCCCTCCACACCTGCCAGCCCGAGCGTGGTGGACTCTGGGATGTGCCACCCAGATCCCATGTAACCAAGGGCTTTTTGCCCCCACTGTGGGAGGTGCCATCAGCAGACATCGTTCAGCTGCCCAGAGTCACCCAAGGTCGGGCTCTTCCCGGGCACCCCGTGTCCCGGGACTGGTTGATGCAGAGCTGAAAGGCCCTGTGGCATCCTGGCTGCAGAGCTTCCGGCCGGGTCCGTGGCAGCTGTCACGGCCTGCATCACGCCCCCTCCCTTCCACGGGCATCAGTCCTAAAGCCATCCCTGACAAACGCCCTCAGTGTTAGACTCTGCCTCGGAATCTGCCTCCTGGGCACTCCTGGTGTCGGCCGTGAGCCCCAGTAGGAAAGGCGCCCTGGGAGGACACGTCTGTGGCCGCTGTCGCATGAGCAGATGACTGAGCTGGGGGGGAGGAGAGGCTGACCTCAGAGCAGCGAGCCCCGTGGAAAGAAGACAGGTCACAGCCCGAGCTTCGGCTGTGGAGGTGGAGGGAGGCCCGGGGGCCCTCAGATTCAGAACCGCCGTCTCCGCAGGGCAGGTGAGGACTGCCCGGAACGAGTCCTGCAGATACATCAAGTAGAAATCAGCCGAGGCCACGTGGACAGGGGAGCTGGGCCAGATCTGCTCGCGTGGCCCCAGAGGACCGAGTTGGGTCAGAACATGAACCTACTGGGAGACAGGCTTCGGCTCCAGCTAAGGGGGCGCCTGCTAAGGAAGAGCTTGTCCCAGGTGCAACGGGCTGGTGCCCTGTCCAGGAAGGATGAGCAGAGGCACGACACCCCCTTGGTGCGGGTGGGAAGAGAAGAGACACAATTGGCCCTGGAAGAGCTTGGAGAGCCCCTGCTCTGTTGGAAAAGAGGAGGTGGAAACATGGAAGGTTTTTAAAGGAGAAGGGAACCCGGTCAGAGCAGGGTCCCAGGGGCATCCGCCGGGGACAGGGCAGAGGCTGGGGGCTGAGCCCCGTCAGGACAAACGGACAAAGTCCATGAGGATGCTCATGGCCACAGTCCCCTGACCACCCCCTGTGAGGGGACTCGGCCAATTGGTCCAAATCAGGTCACCTCACCAGCAAAGTGAGTCTCTGCGGCTGTCGTTCCTGTCTGCCACACACCCGTCTACACACCCGCAGGGAGATGTGCTTCTGTCCACGTAGGGACAGCTGAGTGTGTGCAACACCAAGGCCCGGTCGGGTTTTAGGGCACAAAAATCAGTGGGAGCGTTTGGATAGCAGATAGATTCGCCTGCCGTCCTCACAGTAGTTTTTACTGGAACTGCCCGTTCCGAGGCTCTACAGGGGAGGAACTTAAGTCAAGTTCAGGTCACTGGTTTTTAAAGGGAAGGGATGATGATCTGAAATCCCCGCAGCAACTGACCAAATCTTTTTGCAAAAACACGAAGGTGACGACATGGATTCCAGGGCCAGCTCGAGGCATTCGGATCCCCGCCGGGGAAGACAGAGCGGCTCCCGCGTGACCCGCTCCAGGGGGCGCGGCTGTGCCGCAGGCAGCCTCCGGGCCTCCTCCCACTTCATCACGAGCATTCATCTCCAGCACCTTCCAGGCGGGGAACTGCAGGGGCCAGTCTCACCAGCAACACCAGCTCATCCCCAGCACGCTGGCCAGGAAGAGCTGGTGGGGCCGCTGATGGATTGAATCTCGCATTTGGAGGGGCAGCTAGGGGCGGATGTGATCTGGCTGAGCAGACCATGTGGTCTGGAGCACTTCGACAGTGATCCCCAACGGCTCGCATTAACAGGAGTGCGAGAACGGACACGCCAGGAGATGGTGCCAAACGCGTTCCACGGGATCAGCATTCAGGGACGATCACATTCAGGGAAGCCACCTGCTGAGAAACGCCCTGACCAGCATTTTCACTGGGTGTATGCCATGATCCAGGAAGGCGCCGTGCATTTGTTCTGGAAATGGGTACGGAACAACGGCCTTCAGTGTCCACCAAGGGCCACCATGCCTTTGGCCAACAAATGGCCTCTACAGACTCTGGAGCTTTCTGTGCATCCAAGATCAGGACAGGCCCCAGCAGCTGTGATCTTCCTCGAAAGGACCGTCTCTCAATGCCACCAACGAGCTCAGGCTCTCTGGGAATGGGTCCAGAAGTATCCACCTATAGCCGGCTTCCCAGGGGACACTGATGCCCTCTGGAGTAAGGTAGGTGACTCGATACACTTCATGGAAATTGGAAAATCAAGCAGTAATAAGAGCAACCAACATTTATTGAGCACTTACTATGTGCCAGGTGCTGTGCTAAGCCCCTGATATGTCTCCTTCCTGTAGTAAGAACTATTAGTATCCCTGTTTTACAGGTGACAAAAGCAGAGAGGGTAAATAACTTCCTCCCCAAAAGAAATGTGTGCTTAGTGACATCGTTGCTGAACATTGGAGTGTCAGGTCCTGTTTTCTCAAAGGCCACACTTGGAGAAGCACTGATGAGAATCACCACATTCTCTCCCAGTTCTGGTTCTAGAAAGAGAGAGAATCTGGCCTGCTCTTCTGTCCATGCCAGGCCCCAGCAGGCCTAGTGACTGGTTGCTTTGGGTCACATGCTCACCCCTGTTCCAGGCAGATATGGAGGCAAGTCCCACGGTACAAAACAGGCAGCCTAGGACCTCCTCCAATGGGGGACTATGTCCTTTAGAACAAACCATGAGAGAGGCAGGTCCATAACTGACCTCTCACATAATACACTCAAGTCCCAGCACTCATCTCCTCCTCCTCTTTCCTTGCTAACCGACCCTTAGTTTTCTTCAGACTCTAGATATTAAAATGTTCAAGAAAGGTGGGCAAAATCATAATCTCATTGGTCGAGGTGTGGGTATGTTCATTCAGTTCTGTTCAATGACAAGTAAGAAGTCAGCCAAGGGGTTTCTGGAAAAACTTATCAACTGTGGGGAAGGGAGATGAAGAAGAGAAGGTGTGTTCTTGTTTCTGGACACAGTTGCATGAGGATATGATAGCTGGAGCTGGGGCAGCCATCTTAGGGCCTGGGGAAGGCAGAGCGAGAGGCAGGGTCCTTGGGCATGTGACACTGTTGAATTAGCTGACTCTGGAGCCACCCACTTGCCAGGGCTGCCAGAAGTCCCAAGAGCAATCACATCTATATGAATGCAATTTGTGGGTTGCAAACTTCTAGGCAGACAATGGGCATTACTATTAAACTGTCAATAATCGTACTTTACAATGGAAATGTCATCATAATCCTGAACTAGCTCCATCTCTTCTAGAACAAAAGGAGACCTGGCTCTTTCCCCTTATGGTATCTGCATTTTTTTCTCCACTAGATAACCTTCTAGACTGTGTCTGGGTCGGGGAGGGTTAGACTGGTCCAGCCTGACCGGCCTCTTGGTTTTGAGTTTTATGCCCCTTGAGACTCAAACATCTCATTTCCAGAAACTTCAGCATGGCACATGCCCTGCGACTCCCACTGCTGACTGCCAATGGAAATGCAGCTCTGGGCCACGGTGACGTCATACATCAATTCCACAAATGTTCACGAAGCCCCTGTCACATGCAAGGCCCCAGGCTGGCTGTGTGGCCCCTGGGATGCCCTCACACACCCCAGGGTGGCGGACAGTGCCCGGGCAGTGGGTGGGTGAGCAGAGCCAGGCACCAGTTGCAACAGGAGTCTGAGCTCACACTGCAGCACCTCCCGCTCTGAGAAGCAAAGACAGAATTTTGTTTGGGTATATTGTTTCCCCGAAAGCATCTAGCCAGGGGCTTGAAAGGAGGATTAGAAAGGCTCTGCACTGCGGGGGGCCTTGGAAAGATCGTCTTGTCCCAACGGCGAGAACCCCAGGGCCTGGGAAGGGAAGGGCCCAAGGTGGCACAGCCAGCTGGTGACAGAGCCAGGACAAAAGCCAGGGCTTCTGTTTTTAATTTTCTCCCATCCTCCTGCAATCAGTGGGGAGACGGTCCAGTGTTCGCTTGGGAAAAAAAAAAAAAGCTCTGATAAGAATCTGAGGAATGTGACTGCTGAAGGGGACTGACTGTGGAATTTGGCATTTGATACCCACGCCCCTGCAAGGTCACACACAATGGCAACGCAGCAGAACACCTCCAGGTCTAAATGTCTGCAGCCGGTGGCATCCCTGCCACACGCGGCTGTCTCGGAGTCTAAGGAATTCCTCAGTTCCCCTGCAAGGGCCAGGCCCGGGGGAATCTGAACCAACTCGGAATCTGGGCAGGGGGACGAACATTCCGAAATAAATCCTGCTGTTTGTGAAGCCTTTTGTTTTGGATCACCACTTGTCTCCAAACCCCACTTTCTTCCTGCCTTTTACAGGTAGTAGTTGTTGGCGGCTCATCAAACCCCCAGCAAGCAGGGGGAGACGTGGCTTAAACACCACTGGGCCCTGCAGCTGTCCACGGGACACAGGCCGTGGGCTCCTGGGTTGGGGGCATAGTTGCAGAATCTCTGTGTGACCTTATGCTGGGTCCATCCCTCTGCAGGATTCCTCCTCCTCCTCCTCTTCTTCCTCCTTCTCTTCCTTCTCCTCCTCCTCCTCCATCCTCCTCCTCCTCCATCCTCCTCCTCCTCCTCCATTCTCTCCTTCTTCTTCCATCCCTCCTCCTTCTCCTCCTCCTCCTCCTCCCCATCTCTCTCCTCTCCCCCCCATGCCCTCACCTCCTACTCCCATCCTCCCTCCTCCATCGTCTCTCCTCCCATCCCTCCTCCTCCTCCTCCACCATCCTCCTCCTCCACCTCCTTCTCCTCTCATCCTCCTCTCCTCTCCATCCCCCTCCTCCTCCATCCTCATCCTCCTCCCCACCTCCTCCCTCCTCTCCCATCCCTCCCTCCTCCTCCTCCATCCTCCTCCTCCTCCATTTTCCTCCTCCATCCTCCTCCTCCTCTCCATCCTCCTCCTCTCCATCCTCCTCCTCCTCCCCCATCCTCCTCCTCCTCCTCCATCCTCCTCCCTCCTCCTTCTCCTCTTCCATCCTCCTCCTCTCCATCCTCCTCCTCCTCCTCCATCCTCCTCCCTCTTCCTTCTCCTCTTCCTTCTCTTCCTTCTCCTCCTCCTGGCAGCATTAGACCTGGGAGGGGCTTTAGAGATCATGATGCTGACATAGTCACTGTCATCGTTGTTGTCAGCAGAAAGGCCAGAGTGCCGCTGCCTGTCACCCAGACGTCAGACAGCCGGGAACCCAGCCTGGCTGAGTGAATGGCCTCATTGTGTTCTCCAGCCCTCCGGGGACAGGTGTCCACAGCCTGCAGGGATCAAGGGATCAGAGAAAGCCTCAGCCCCACATCCTACCCAGGAAGCTAGTTCTGCAGACACCTGGCACAACAGGGCGATCCCAGTCTGCAAAATTGTCCCCAGGTGAGGGACTCAGTGACAACTTCCAGCCAAAGAAAGCCACCCCTGTGGAGCACGTGTGCAGATGTGCTGCTGTCCACCTGCCCTGTCTAGCTGTGGCCTTCAGCGGGCAGACACTTGAGCTCCCATGTCCCCAGCCCCTGGTCCAGGTTCAGCACGGGGCGTACATCAGTGAGTATCTGCTGAGTGAACAAATGAGTGAAGAAAGGAGGTGTGATTGAGATCTGGAAGGGACAAAGCCCACTGCCAGCCACCTCCTGCCAAGGGTCGCCATGACTGAGCCTACCTCGGCCCTCTCTGTGCTACCCCTGTGACAGTGAGCCCCAAGCTGAGCCGGCCCTGCCCCCATCCTGGCCTTTAGCCCCCTGTAGTCCAGAATGCCCACCCTCCACCCCACCCTGTCTCCCTGGGGGTCACCACTTGTCGTCCACATCTTGCTCAAGTGGCCCCTTCTCTCTCACATCTCTGCTGTCCCATGTGGACAGGTCTGACCCCCTCTTTTTCGTCCTCCCAACTCTGCCTATGGCACTCACAGCCACTGTCACACTGCAGGGCATGACCGTCTCTCCGCCACCCCCCCCCCAGGTCCCTGGAAGCAGAAAACTAACTACTCAACTTGTATCTAGGAGGCAGCGTGGCATAGAATGGGTGACAAGTCCACGTGTGGGAAGAGAGGGGAGTCAGGTAGGGAGGGGCAGGCTGTGGAAGAATTAACTATATGCAAACCATGTACTCAAAGAAACAACCTTCCAATTCTTACATTCAATTTCTGACATATTTTACCATCAGATTGTCGCCCATGGGAATGCATCTTTGAAATGAGAATGCAAGCCCGTTAGGGAGGATACTTACGCACGTATCTGCTCTACCCACATTCAGAGACGACTTATAACGTGCGAGGGAGGAGAAGTGCAAAGTGCGGCACACAGGCGTGTCTGAGAACTGTGGCTCTCACCAGCAAGCACTGGGGGGGGGGGGCCGCAGCCCTTGTCCTGGCCATCCCAGGACCGCACTGTCACCCCATGGGCACCCAAATTGGCCAGAGTACAGTAAACATCAGACACAGACCAGGAGCCACCGTTCGCCCTCCTCACTCCACTTTCCTCAAAGCAGGTGTGGCTGAGACATACGGACCGGTTGTTTAGTCTTTCCATGCCTTGCCCCATGTAAAGTGGGACCACAGCAGCACCTCCAAGGGTTGTTGTGAGGATTCAACCCAGATTGAACCCGGTAAGGTGACGGAACGACGGTGGACAGTTGGTCAATTCTCAGCCAATGGCGGCTAGTTTTATAGAAGTTCACCTGTCCCTCGCCCAGGGTTACAGCTAGGAACTGGGTGGAATGACACAGCTCAATGTCTGTCACACAGTAGTCCCCTTGGAAAATATCAAATGGAAAATTCCATAAATAAACAGTGCATAAGTTTTAAGTTTCCCACCATTCTGAGTAGCAGGATGAAATCTCACACTGTCCCACTCTGTCCCTCCTGGGATGTGACTCCTCCCCTTGTCCAGCGTCACTCAGTGGCCATCTCGGCGATCAGATCGACTGTCCCAGTATCACAGTGCTTGTGTTCAGTGGCCCTTCTTGCACTCAGCACTGGCCCCAAAACACAAGAGTTGTGGCAATTCAGATGCCAAAGAGAAGCCATAAAGTCCTTCCTTTAAGTGAAAAGGTGAAAGTGCTCAACTTAATAAGAAAAAAATTGTATGCTGAGATCAATGGTAAGAATGAATCTTCTGTGAAGTTGTTATATTGTTATAATTTTTCTATTGTATTATTAGTTATTGTTGGCAATTTCTTACTGCACCTAATTTATAAATTAAACTTTATCATAGGTATGTTACGTATAGGGAAAAACATAGTGTATATGTATAGCTATCCATGGTTTGAGGCATCCACTGGGGGTCTTGGAGTGTATCCCCCATAGATAAGGGGTGACCACTGTATTCTGTTAACTCTACACACATAATGTCATCTCTCATCTTGAAGGGTGATTCTGACCCACAGTGAGTATTTTAGAGCCCTGCCCACCGCCGGGAGCTCACTCCACACCCACCTTCCCCAGGGCTGAACCAGCCCCTCCTCCCACATGCACTGTAGCCAGGCATTTGTGAGTCTAATCAGACTGTCACCCAGTAATGCTGCTGTTATGAAGGGTCTCGGATAAGCAAAGTCCACACCCCTCCCCTGTGAGACCACCTGAGCACTCTACACCCTGCTTTCAGAGTGATGACAATTGGGGAGGGGACTGAATCGCCTCCCAAGGCCCAGACAAGGAGGCAGGATCGACAGGGTGAGTGACACATACGCCCTTAGCACAGTGTCTGGCTCAAGTGAGCACACGATGAAAGGCGGCTGCTGCCACATTGATTGTCACTGTCATTGCCAGTCAGGTGGGAGGATTCTGACACCCCGGAAGGTTCTCAGGCCCTCTGTGACCTGCTGGCTTGGGGCCATGGACGGCCAGGATCCCATCTGTAAGCTGACGTGGGGATGTGGCCAGCCTGGCGCCAATGAGAGGCGCCGCGCAGACATGGCTGCTGAGGAAGCTCGGGGTGCATTTCTCCCTCTGTGGGGAAGAAGCACAGCTGTGAGCCAGAAAACTGGGGTCTCATCCCAGCTCTGCCTGTGACGCCCTAAGTGACTCCCCATCTCTGGGCCTCAGTCTCCTCCTTTGAAAATGAAAGGTTCAGGCCAGGCGTGGTGGCTCACACCTGTAATCCTAGCACTCTGGGAGGCCGAGGCTGGTGGTGGATCGCTTAAGGTCAGGAGTTCAAGACCAGCCTGAACAAGAGCGAGACCCCATCTCTACTAAAAATAGAAAGAAATTAATCGGCCAACTAAAAACATATAGAAAAAATTAGCCGGGCATGGTGGCACATGCCTGTAGTCCCAGCTACTCCAGAGGCTGAGGCAGGAGGATTGCTTGAGCCCAGGAGTTTGAGGTTGCTGTGAGCCAGGCTGACGCCATGGCACTCTAGCCAGGGCAACAGAGTAAGACTCTGTCTTAAAAAAAAAAAGTGAAAGGTTCAAGCTGACATTCTCTAGCTCCTGTTCACCAATAAAGTGTAAAATTGATAAGGTAGAAAACAACCCAAATGTCCACAAAAGGAGAATGAAAAAAGTATGGGGTTCCCATGATGGAATACTACACAGCAATGAAAAGAACAAAGCATACGATGACATACGTGAGTCTCACAGACGCACTGTTAGCACAAGTAGCCAGATCCCATGAGTACACACCGGATCATTCTGTGTATGGGACGTTCAAGAACAGGCAAGGCTATTCCACGGAGATGAAACCGGGATAGTAGAAACGCATCAAGCTGTATACTTAAGATTGTTACACTCTACTGTATTTAAGTTATAGTTTTTTAAAAAAAAAAAAAAAACAGTTAAAAAGAAAGTGCAATTCTGAGCCATTTTTCAAGGAACGCTTGTTAAGCCTTTTCTAAGCACCAGACTCTGAGGTGGTCACCAGCATGAGAGAGCTGAAAAGGAGACCCGCAATCTGATGAGAAGACACAAAGAACCACAGACACATGACACAGGCGGCAAGAGCAGACCTGTGCTGCTGGGGAGCCCTGAGGAGGGGGTGCCTGGCTCT